TTTTTTCACATTTATTTAATATTATTTTGTTAAAAGTTTATATATTATAAAATTTTGTTATATACTGTATATTTAATTTATTAGTATAAAAAAAAGCTGTTCTCTATACAAATAGAAAATGTTTTTGATGCAACTAACAGAAAATTATAAATATGTCTTTAAAAAATACTATATTAATCAAATAAGATTAAAATTTCTAAATACTTTTTAAAAAAATATATTAAGTAAAATAGAGAAAAAAAAAAACATAATTGATAAAACTAATTAAAATATATCAGTAATTATTTTTGAAGATGACAAAAATACTAGATATGATTTATTTTTAAATAATATATATACAGTATAATGATCACTATTATAGTATCAGAAAATTTCTGATCCACCTTCAAAAATAATTATTCATATTGTAAACAAATTAGAAAAGAATATTAGATATATAATTAAAAGTATTTTTAATAAAGATTTAATTCAATTAATAAAACAGATAAATAAAACAAAAATAAAAGATATATTTAAAACAATAATAATTAAAATAATAGAGATATTATATAAGCTTTGGACTTAAAGATACAAATAGTTTCAATAATAATAAAAAAATAAAAACATTAGTAGAAAAGATAAAAAAGCAAAAATAAAAAATACTTATATAATAATTATTTATAATACAATCAAATTAATAAGATATAATAAATAGACAAAAGAAAATTTCAATTATATAATGAAAACTTATAGAAAATTGATTTGACTAAAGCAAAAATATAATTAATTTTAATTTTAATTATTTATATAATAACAATATTAATAAAATCTTAATATATTAATTTAATATACATATATCTTAGAATAAATAAATAGTAATAAGTTAATATAAAAAATTTTAATATAGTTTAATATATATTCAAGATAATTTATAAACAATAATTCTTATAAAAGAAATATAAAAATAAATTAAATAAAATATATTAAGCAAGATCTAACTAGTTAAAAAAAATATATTTAATTTATTAAATTTATATATTATATTTGTAATTTAAAAAAATAATAATCAAATATTTATAAAAATTTTATTAATTTGAAATCTTATATTTAAACAAATTAAATAAATTAAAAAATATATAAATAAAAAGTATATATTTATATTGAATTAAATAAAATTTAATATTTCAATAATTTAATATTTATATTATTTTCAAATTCAAAATTAATTTTAATATTTATTAAATTAAAAAAGTTAAATTATTAAATAAAAACCAAATTCTATTGTATTATATTATTTATTAAGTTAATTAAATAATTAAATAAAAAATTAAATTTGTTTTAAAATAATTAATATTTTTTATATTAATTTATTTTATTTTAAACAATTATTAAATTATATTAAAATATTAATAAATAGTTTTTAAATTTATAATTTCATAAAACATTTTTATAAATATTCAATTAATAAATTTCAAATTTCAAAAAAATTTTATTAAATTAAAAAAATTTTTAAATACAATATATAAGTTTATTAAAAAATTGTTTAAATTTATTAATAATTGTCTTTTGAATAATATATACTATATATTGTTAAATAATTAATATAATTTGATTAATAAAAATCAATTTAATATTTAATTAAATATCTAAGATTTTAAATTTTAAATTATTGAAATAGAATATAATAAATCAATAATTTTATAATTATTTATCAATTTTTATATTAATTTAAATTCAATATTTCAACATATATTAATTGAAAATAAATTATTGTAAAGTTTGTTTATAACTATTTCAAAATAATATACAGTATATTGAACTTATTTAATTATATACAGTATACTGTATACCTAGCGATTTATATTTAGTAGTGTATGAATTTATATGTAATTTCAAAATTTCGGAATTCATAATGATTTCTAAAGAATGTATTAATTAATCGAATTTGGAGAGACATAAATTTTAAAAATGACTTGACTTTTTCAAGAGGTAAAGAATTTAATTTTATTACGCTGAATTACTACATCGTATGATGGGCATGCGGGCTTAGATTTACAAAAAAAGCATATGATCACATTTCCGGATATTTATGGCAAGGCACAGTATATATACTGTATATAGTTATAAAAATAACAATTAAAAAGTAACAAAATTTAATTTACAGTATTTAATGGAAAAAAATAATTTTTTTTTATATTATTAAATATTTTTAAACATATTAAATAATAATTGATTTATGGAATTTTCCAGAATTCTAGTGAATTCTAGTGATACGAATAATAATTTGATTTTAAAAAAATAACTATAGACAGCGAAATTTTATTTTTCAATATATCAGTCTTTCAGAATACGTAATAAATTCCATTTAGAAAATAACAAACTTAATTTTGATTTCCATTCTTATCGATGACCAAACTGCATGAACACAAATATAATAATGACCTACCATACTTTTATATAGCGTATTATTCCTGAATTCAAAAACAGACATCAAGTGTACTTTTTAGAATCGCAATTTCACAATGGCTTCCTCTCCCACACAAAGAACTTTTAATGCAATTTCCAGGCTTGATATGAAAGAACAAACCATTGACGAAATGTATGGTGTTCCAGAAAACTTTCTAGAGATCGAAGTGCGCAATCCTCAAACTCACGGTATGTGTACCTGGTTATTCTTTAAAAATTAGATACCATATATTGATTACATTTGACTTCGCCAGGCTTCGGTCGTAAAATGTTCACAGACTATGAGATTGTTTGTAAGGTAAATCCTACGCGATACTCCAT